TAAATACTTCTACAAAAGAGTTACAAATGTAAGAGAGGGGCCTTAATTTTAAAATTATATATGTAGAGAATACTTATGGTGAATTATGTTAAGTTTGAGGGTTTAAAATCAGGTTTTAATATCTGCAGTGAGCCTATTTAGTAAGCTTTATGCTTAATAAAAAACAAACAAACAAACAAACTATTCTAATATCTATACCTATTTAAATGGCTTAACATAACTTGTATAGAACTTTACTCTTGTCATTTGCCACAATCTTGTTCCCAAGACTTGTTAATTAAAATAACTGTTTTAACCCTACCAACATTGGTCTTCCTGTGATCAGAGGGTCAAAAGCCAGGTCATTAAGTTCATAAACTAACATTCAAAATTTTATTGAACTACTATTTTACAAATGTATGTTAATAAGTTTAGCATTGAATTGTAGATTAAAATTTAAATTTTAGTATTATACATTATTTCATTTCTTAATTAAAAAGTGAATAAAAAACAACACCCTAAATATTAATCTTTGTGCATCACATGGTATGTTGAATGCAGAATTGGTTCAAATTAGATGTTTGTGATGTCCAAATAGAAAATCTATAGTACTTTATGATTCAGATACTTAAATTACTGATATTGACAAGCTAGAATATAAGATAAGAACCCTCTGTTTTGTTTATTTTCTGAGAAATTAATATATTTATTGAATCAACCAAGGTAAATCTGCCCACCTCTTGCATTTTTGAAACTACTTGCTTACATACACCTGCTTCACACAAGGATGTGTGTATAACCAATAAAAAGCTCAGAATGTCCCCATAGTGGTTTTCTCAGCCTCTGTGAAGTATTTGCTTGGAAAACTCTTTCTTTTCATGCTAGATTCCAAATGGTAAGGTAAGATACTAGTGAGGTCAAAAATCAAATTTTTTAGACCCAAATACAGCTTAATTCCTAAGCTTGATAAGTTATAGTGAAATTCTGTAGTATTGGTATGGTAATTGATTATTTTTTGTTATTTCAAAATGCATATATAAAGTATTTTACATCCTCCATGAGCAAAATCTGATAAGGCTAAGCAACTTATGGCAAGCAGCAAACAAGTACATAGTTTATAACTAGAAGAGATAATTGTTTTCTATATTTTTTATTTACTGTTCTATGTTTTAAGAAAAATATCTGAAATTTAAGAACTTATATTTAAATAGTGATAATGTATATACACATATAATGTATTATAATTGAAATGTGATTGTATTTTACAAATACTGGTCCACTAGAACACAGCCAAGACAAGTCACTTTGTAAAGACTGAAGGTCAGTTTTATATTCTTGGATACAGTAACATGAGTGCACATTTGCTGCATCATTGCAATATCTGTATTGTTAGTCAGGCACGGCTGAAAGGTCAAAAAAAAAAAATAATATATATATATATATAGATGTATAATGTTATGATATTTAAGCTATTTACACTAAACATTGTGTTTTCGTGTTATAATCTGTAGTTATTCTAGAATGATAAAAGCATAATTTATATCTGTTTCCTAATTTTTTTTATGGTGGTTATGAGGTCTGTCAAATCAACCAAACCTGTACAAAGATACAATAGTGAAAATAACAGATAAAATATAAAGTTTTTTTCTAAAAGAAAAAATGTTTGATAATTATCTGTAGCTTATAAAGATTTTGCATGTGAAATTTGAAATTTTCCTGATGCATAAAAGTATTTTTAATCTTAAAATCAAAATTACTTTGCATGTTGGATAGTGAACATTCAAAAAGAAAAAATGCACAAAAAAAACATTAAAAAACCTAATATATAAAATCTGGTATTTTGCATACAAAAGCCTTGTAATGTTTACTGATAATCTACAAAATTCCATGAACATACACTTACTGAGCCCATAGTAAAAAGAGTTAGAAAACACATTACTTTTGCCTGGTTAATATTTTGTAATATTATATGTAAATAGTGTAAATGTATATACATATATAAAACTATTGTGAATAATCAAACTGTCTCGAGGGGTATGATGCTTTGTTCAAATTAATTTAATTCTCCTTCATTGTTTGTTGTTTATTCTCACAGATTATGTTTTCAAGTTTTTTTTCTGTACGATTCAATATTTTACCAGAAAATGTGAATGCAAAGCTCAAAAAATATTTTTCAGGTAAACTGTTTCTCCTATAACAAGAGTATGAAACAATACATTCAAACAATGTATTTTCTCAAATTTTCTATATATTGCATAGTAGATAAGTAACAATTTTACAGTAAAGTCAAGTTTCATAAACTCATAGCCAACTAGCTTAATACTTCTGTTTCACTGAAATTATTTTTGTAACAAATGCTTTAAGTATGATATCAAACATATCTAGATTTAGATATATTTAGAAGTTCTGAATAATTTTTATTAGAATCAATATATATATACTTTTGAAACAAGTAACTTCTTTATTTATCATTACAACTTAAAAAACTAATAGAAAATCCAGAATCAATCTTCTTACACATAACAAGTATATTCAATACAATTCACTTTTCAAACCTCTCTTAATGTTGCTAACTCAAATCAGTAACTTATGTTTAAGTTTGTTTCTTAACTAAACTGTTTTTCTGCTTTCTAAAATATTTACATCTAACCCCCTTACAATGGGCATCCTTTACTGCACATGTCACAAGGTTTTTAGTGACTTACATTCAAAATATAATTAAATTATTTTTTGTAAATGTTATACCAATTAGTATAGCATAAATTCATAGCTAATAATCCATGTTTTAACAGTACATAAGAGTTGAGTTCTTATTTTTATAAGGCAATATTTAAAATACTCTTGAATTTACCCTAGTGTGAGAAATGTGACATTTTACTCTAGGCATCCACTCTTCTCTAATATATTCAGCACCTCTCCAATAAGCCAAGGTTTTCATCTATCAAATGGCATTTCATATTACATTTTGTTCTGAACAGAGAATTGTCAATTTCTCTTTTAGTACAAGCTCTGTTCCCACAGGAAAGATACCAACTAGCTTGGATGAATTTGTAATGGCTCTTATCACATAGTTAGAAAGCCAGAGAAATTGTGATAGTTATAAGACATTGTCTGATTTTTGCATGTTATTATTTTATGTTTTTTGGTCCATTATTTAAATAAAAAAATTACTTATTACACAACTACCATTAGTATAAAAAAGTAGGATTAAGTGTCATCAATAGTGGACAGCAATAAAAAAAAGAAGGTTCAGATAGGTGCTTTATTTCTTATTTTTTGTGTGTATTTTTTATTTATTATTATAAAAGTATCTAAAATGTAACAATAGGAATATCTTTAGATTAGTCAAGGTTAGATTAGGTAAAATAAATAAAATAATAATACAATAAAAATTTTCATGAGGCATGCACGTGAGCAGCTCAGAATTATGCTCATGGGTAATGTAATTTGATAGCATAATGTGATTCCCACATTCTCCAAGTGATTTACAACTCATAATGGTAGAATAGTAGTTAGACATTGGTTTAAAGAGCAATAAAATAATAAAATTTAATTATAAATAGATGTACACTGTTATGAGTTTAAAGCAACTTAGAATAAACAAATATAGTTTCATGTTACAATATCAAGTCATTAGAGAAAGAATAAAAGGGTGATTTAGATTTATTAAGACTTGTTTTGGTTATGAGGTTAGTCAAATAGACCAACCTTTTATAGATTTAGTGTAGAAAAAATAACAGATAGAATATAAAGTTTTACTAAAAACAAATGTTTAAAATGTATTTAGAAGGTTTTAGAGATTACACAAATGAAATTTGAGATTTTTGAGATGAAGAAAAGTATTTTTAATCTTAATATGAAAATCACTTTTCACTCAAACTAGTCAAAAAAAGAAAGACTAACACAGCTTTTTTAGTTTATCAAAAATACTTCACTAAAAATCTTATTTTTTATGTGAAAGACTGGTAATTTTTACTGAAAGTCTGCTAAATTTTCTGTAGATACTCATACTATATTAAAAGTTAGTAGTATCAAGACTTTCAATGAGTACAAAGTGGTCAAATGGTTGGTCAATTCAACCCGAGCCCGTGTAGAAAGAGTCATTAGAAGTGAGAACATGAAAATGAAAAATAAAATGTTAAAATTATTATGTAATGTTTTACATACAAAATATCTTCAAAGCATTTATCTTTTAACACACAGCATTCCTTTATGGAAAGGTTTCTACACTGCAACACAAAAACACTTCAAATGCCTATATAAGCAGTGCTTGTATTAAGCTTACTTCTTATTTGCTAAAGTTTCTATTAATTCTGGGAGAATACTATATTAAGAATTTCTTCAAACTCATAATCTTGACAAAGAGACAAATGTAAATATTGTGAAATATGGTTGAGAAAATCTAGCAGCCTGTTTTACAAAAATATGAGAAGTTCTTTTACTTAATACTTACTTCTTAGTATTATAATTATTAACTTTCAAAGCTATGAACTGCATATACTTCACCAGAATTCAAGTCACTTGGGTAAAAATTCTTAAATTTCCAGACTTTTGAGTATTTAAAAATGGATAACAAGTTCTGCCTACACCTGTGTATTAAATAGGTAAAAGCATGCTTTTATTTAGCCTGCTGTATTGTCTTAACATTAACATCAACAACATTTCTAAGTGTTTTTCTTTTCATGAGCATCATCTGAAGTATTCAGACTAGGCTTAAATTTTAGGATACAAAAGTGTCAAGGACTTTTAAATAATTGTTATATAGGGGTAAATATTATATTACCAAATATTATAGATATTACAATGTAATCTACAGATTGTTCAAGTATTATGAATGCATATTTCATTAATATTTATTAACATAAAGGATAATGCTGTTAACATCAATGTACTTTTCTTTCATATGTTATTTTGTGACTCTACTTAACCAGAAAAACAACAACATTCTATTTATACATCACTATAATATGTGTATTCAAAACCTGGTATAAATAATTCAGAAAGAAAAACATAATTTTTACCTTATTGAAAACTTTGTGGAGAAATTCATATGTGTAGCCACCATTTAAAGGATCCGCTTTTTCTGCTTTCCATTTAATCTAGAAAAAAAGCAACCTCAGATTACAAATGAATAAAGGTAAAGATACAGGGAAATCATATAATAAAATGTTTTTTTTTTTTTTACTTTTCCAACAAAATGTGTATAAATTTCATTTTTATCTATAAGGGTTTATTAAGTCTTCAGTATAAGAAGTAGCTAGTCTTTATATCTTAGACATACATGTTTAACAAACCTTTTTTTCTTATTTACACTTTGCACATAGCAAGTCTTACAATAGTAAGTCACTACACATATCTATCATTAATGACAATGTCAACTCATTCAAGTGCTTAGTTTCATATCACATCTATTTTAATATTTAATAGAATATCCAACTAAACAAACAATTTCCAGTTATCTGTGTATAATAAAGCAAAATTATAATAATTCAATATGCCGAAAAAGAAAACTTGGTTAACAGTGGGTAAAGAGGTCAGCTGTTTAATGTTTGACAGGTACAAAGGTATGTAATAAAACATATGAACAGTTATAAACAGAGTATTTAATGTACTTTTATTATTATTATATTTTGCTATCTTAAAGTTAATACACAAATACTGTAAGAAAAAACCGTAAAGACAACAATTTATATGCAAAATAGGTTTTTCTCCTGTTTTTAAGAGTACATATTTTGAATAATTCAACTTTATAATGTATATCAACAAAAGTGATATGGAACCTGTGGAAAGTTAAAGAAATTATTAAGGATTGTATCTAATTAAGTAACAATCACAAGATAATACATGTAAAAGAAAATCTGGCCATGCATTTTTTAAACTGTACTTATATCTCTAAACTATACTTCTTCCATATTCCTTACTATGAAACATTAATTTTACAAAACAGTTTCAAAAAGGTCAAAAGCTTTTATGTTTTAAAATCTGTTATCAAATACAAACTCTACCTTAAGTAACTAAAAACCAAGAACTTGATATATTTATGTAGTATCACTAGAATTGATACTAAGAGTGAAGAAAAAAGATGCAGAATTATTTATAAAGTGCCACATTATTTCTTCTGAATCTGATTTGTGATGACCAATTTTTCTAGCTTTATTGCCAAATTTTCTAATTGCCTCCACAGTATGTGCTACAAATCTTGAAAAACAACAAAACAGTGTTCAAGTGGTTCACAGCAAAATACTGAATAAATGATGTTACAAATGATAACCAAATGCTTATTATATCAGTCACGTAGGAACTAACTAGTTAGCAGCATGAGATAAAAATTCTACACTCTTGCATACAATATAGTATACTAAATTTTCAAACATTATCATTGTACAATTGCTCAATTTTAGCAAACTAAATTAAAAAGACTCCATATAATAACACATAATCCAATTACCAGTATAGGGTCAAAATTATAAATAGTAAATTTAGACGAAAGTTATTTGAGAAAATGTAAACAAAATCAGCTTAAAAAAGTACAATTGCACCAATGTAAGATTAACTATCATTAAGACAATTACACATATTCCTAACACAGCTCACATAAATTTGTCTAAAATAACAAGATAAATCCACAATTAATGCTGAAACAAATTAGAAGTATTTAAGAATTTGGAATTAAATATATGTATAAAAAAATTATGACCACGTCTTCCCAGAAAAATAGCATTTTAAAGACATTTCAATGAAATTCAGTATAAAGGAGTATCTGTTATATACTGCAATCAGACTATAGGTAATTTTATTCTACACTGTCTTCTGTTCTCGTCATCCCAACCATGGCTTGATGATTTAAATCTGGCCCTAAATTAATGTTTAATGGTCATATTAATACATATCAAAATGGCTTATGATGGCACTATGTTTGGAAGCAATTTATAGGCACCACAACAGATGAGAATTAGGCTGAAACAAAGTAGGTGTACATCTCTAAAGGCACTGTAATCCATTAAAGCCACAGATAAACTACTAAAAGTACTATATAGAAGTTACAGGATTAACAGATCAAATGGTATTAAAACATCAACTCCCTCTTATGATTGTCTACAAGAATAGAAAAGATTAGTTATACAACTAGTTACACTGAATAGAGGAAATAAACCACAAAACAATAGGCACTTTAAGTGTGCCTTAAAAGGAATTATGGCCAGGAACTGCAGACAAAAGCCTGTATCAATAACAATTACTCCCAAGGATACCAGAAAGATAGAACTATTACAGGTATGGAGAACATGGCCATTACAGATGAGATTGTGAAGAATCAACAGCTGCTAATAAGTCAAGGAGACAATACTCTAAGGATGAGCCTTAGAGCCCAACCAGATCAAAAACAACAAAGGGCTAACCAGACATTGGAAAAACAGGAATTAGCTGGTAATATGGAGAAAAGTTCAGCAAGGAATACTCCATATGCCTAAAATGAGATAAGACATTATTCAAGGAAAACCATCCACAAATGCACAGGTTTAATGATAGTAAACTATCCAGTATGTCAATGGTTTTACAACTACAACAATTCAATCAGGCATGAAAAAAGGCAAAGTATGTGATCATAAAGTTCAAGAAAAATAAAAGTTGGAAGTTATCCTTACATTTAGTAATTTGTAAGAACAGAACTGTTAGTACAAATACTAACTTTTCTTCTAACAATATATATGATTTTTACACATATAAGGCACAATGTGTGTGCAGTTATAAAATTGAAATACTTTAAATCTAAAAGTATTAAAATCCACTTACTTAAGTTTTAAATTTAAAAGACAAGTAGATATAACCAAACTTAATGATTTCTAAAAATTTAGTTATGGTAATTTGGTGCAATACCTACTAAGAGCTGAACAGAATTTGTCAAAAAGAAAACAAGAGGGTATCTTCAATAGCTGGAGTACTTGAAATTCTTCTAGGTGGGATTAGAGTAAGTTAACCTTTTTTTTTTCTTTTTATTAGCTATATTTTTATATGGCAGCAATATCAAGCGTGGGATGCATGTATACCCAATCCAATTTTATTACTCACCAGGATCTCTACCAACCTACCCTCAAATTGAAATTCTTTTAGGTAGGATTAGAGTAAATTAATCTGTGAGACCTTGGGCCTGGTCAAGCACATCAATTGAAAGGGTTTGACCTCCTGAATCAAAAACTGTAATTAGATGGAGCTATGAGCTAAAAGTTTGTACTTGAAAAAAAACAAAAAAAACCAACACTCAAAGCTGTTTTATGAGCAGCTGTGCTGCAGCTAAAATAAAAAGTTCAAAAATTCATTAACACTACTTACTAAATTTCTCAAGTTTTTCCTAATTTTGTGATCAACAAAAACATCTAATCAGCATATGATTAAAATAACAGCTACTCCTTCTACTGTTTAAAATTCACCCCTCCTAAAAAATTAATTAAGAAATTTGTACTCAGAATAACCTGTGGTTACTTAATTTTCAAAATAATAAATACCATCTAACTTAGAGAATTCTTCATAGAAATGACACTTTTTTCAAAAACTAGAAAAACATTTTTCTATTTTCTTAAAGTTCTTTAGTCTTGTCTGATAATTAATTTTGTAATTCAAATTATGATCTTGCATTAAATTATATTAAAACACTGAAATAATGAAAAGAAAAAAAGTGTTTATTATTTATTTACATATTTTCTTGACTTGCAGCTGGTCAAATTTATTTGACCTGTTCAGTCATAGTTATTTGCTGAGAATACCGCAAAAAAAGAAAAGAAATATTTTGATGCTATGACCTAGATAAAGCTATTACACATTTTTCCTTTGTCTGATTTTCATTAAAGTAAAATAAAAAATCACTTATGCTAATAATGCTGAGAATGATAAGTGAAGAACTGGAAAGATCATGAGTAGCAATCCATCCAAATTATCTTAAGCATTAAATAAGTTACTCAGCACTGGATGTTCACAAAAGCTGCAAAGCCAAGTGAATGTAGCTTTTTTTCTATATCATGACAGCACTGGCTATTAAAATTGTTTTGTTTTTAAAAGATATTTTTTGGTTACTGTGTCACAGTCATAGTTATTGCTGAGAATACCACAAATAATAAAAAAAAATATTTTGATGACCTAGATCAAGCTATTACACAACTTTTTCCCTTTTGTGATTTTCATTAAAGAAAAAAATCACTTATGCTAATAATGCTGAGAACGATAAGTGAAGAACTGGGAAGATTAGAAAGAGTAGCAATCCATCCCAATTATCTTGAGCATTAAACAAGTTACTCACCACTGGATGTTCACCAAAGCTGTAAAGACAAGTGAATGTTACTTTTTTTCTATATCATGACAGCACTGGCTATTAAGATTGTTTTGTTTCGACACAATATTGTTTGATTACTGTGTCACAGCAGTGGAACCCCCAACATTAGTGATCATAAAGGAGGAGGGTGGATTATTTAAAATATATTCAATACATACATGAAATGACAGTGTGATTATATCTATAATGAGGTACTCTGTGAAACTGGCACTGGAGGTCCATTAAATTCTGTTTAGAGTAGCATTATCTGTCCACTGCTATTTCACAGCTGTTTTAGAAAACACACTGACCATCAGTAACATACTCGATTGCTCCAAGTGAAAACACCAATGCTGGCAGTATTAATCCTAACTGAAATCATGGTCATGTACAAAGAGGTTCATTTATAGATCACAAAGAAACATATGAATTAGTTATGGATTTTCTCCAAATGTTGGGATAGCTTTTAGAAGAATTAGAGTCTGCAGAGAATTGAAGGATTAATGCAATAAAATGAAATCTATGTAAAGACACAATGTTGAAATAGAAACAAACTGATTTTATCTAGCATAACATGAAAATTACATTCTAATGAAGCTGGGTATATCCTCTGGTACTATTATATAAACAATAAATAAAGAGTTGAAATTTACAAGAAAGACATACAGTGTGTCCAGAAAGCTCTAAAAGGCATCTAGAATGTGAGAATGAAAATTAGTTGTGTCATAGTTGTGTTTATAAGACTGCAACAACTCCCATTACTACTATACAGATGTCTTGACATGATTTTAAACAAAAAGCACTGTACAGAAATAACAATCCAGTTTGTACTCAAAAACTTCCTCCACTCCCATCTCAAAATCAATGGCTGTTGTCAAGTTTGCATGGATACAATAATATTTATGATTCAGTCATCTAAATGACATTAAACCCAGTAAGATCATTTTTAGGAAACAAATTTGATGACCTGTGTTATTTTTGTGGAGGAATTATACTATTAACACACTATATTACATAGTTTATGGATATAAAACTCAGTCCCATTCATCACAGTTTTTATTATTTCAAAGTAGTTCAAACGTGTAAAAAATATAATGAGTTTAGGTGTGTCCTTCTAAGAAGACAGAGACATGAATGATTATATTTATGCTACTAGAATAAAAACACCAAAGCCATCGTTGTACATTTAAAAAACAATTTTATATTAACATGACTCAACTCATGCTAGGCCAAGCAAAGTTTTTCATTTATCACAAATTGTTTTTTTAAGGCCATTTTGAAGTTGGGTAAAGATAAGCACAGATATTTTAGTTATTTTAAAAACAACAACTGATAACTTACAAATCTACCTGAAATTAACATCTTAGGAACAGCATTAAATTCAAAGAGATATTTAACTTTTTTATGACTATTATCTATTCCTAAAGGTTTCTTATTAAAAATAAGGGATCATTGAACACATTCACTAATATAAACAATTCTATGATCAAACTCACATGCACTCATGTTACCTTACCAAATAACATAAAACTGATTTTTGGTCTGTACATTTGAATACCTAAAAAATCATAAATTACAATATCAATACCATAGAATTCTACTATAATTTATCAAGCTTAGTAACTAAGATGTATTTTAGTCTAAAAAAATATGAAATTTCGAGCAGACTAAAGACACACCTTACCTCGTTGAAATATTGGTTCAAAAGAAAGAAATGGTGCCAAGCCCATTAAAATGGCTGAGAAAGCTACTAGGCAAACATTCTGAACTTCTGAATGGATATTCATGTCATACATAGAAGTAAATGTATATAAGGGAGCATTTACAAAAATGGAAAGAGGTGGGCAGGGTGCCACTGTGTTTGATTTATTACATGAGCAATATCTTA